ATATTTTCCCTAAAAAATAAATTGCTTTAACTCTATATAGTGGAAATAAATTTTGAAAGAATATGCTAAAAAGAAACTTTCTGTCCATTTTTATCTTATTAAATGAAAAAAATATTTTCACCCAAATTTAATTATTTTTGATAAATTACTAATTTGTTACTTAATATTCAATATATGATGGATTTGTTGCTGATTCTCAAAGTACTAACAAATATATAAATTGACTGCTTAAAAGCTATATTTTACTCCTTTCCCTTCAAAAGAAAAAAAATCTGTGTATTAGATTAAGCAATATTTAATAAATTTAAGTAATCATTTGTTAAATTAATTAATCAAATATCAAATGATAAATGAAATTAATAAATATTAGATTAAACAATATTTAATAAATTTAGAGAGAAACTTAACTTGATTGCTTACAAGAGAATTTGCATCCTCTAGCAAATTTTCTCATAAACTTTTTCTCCAAAATGTTTTTTTAGTCAAACAAAAAATCCCCCAGATTTTGAGAAACAAATGTAACTATTACATCAAAATAAATTTTTATCAATAAAATCAGACAAATATTTAGAGAAAAACTTAGTCAAATATTTCCATCCACAGAATTTCTTATTTAATAAAATTAAATAAATAATATTTTCCCTAAAACGTAAATTACTTTAACTCTATATAGTGGAAATAAATTTTGAAAGAATATGCTAAAAAGAAACTTTCTGTCCATTTTTTTATCTTATTAAATAAAAACAAATATTTTCACCCAAATTTAATTATTTTTGATAAATTACTAATTTGTTTCTTTTTTTTTTTTGAACAACTCTAATTTGTTTCTTAATATTCAATATATGATGGATATGTTGCTGATTCTCAAAGTACTAACGCATATATAAATTGATTGCTTAAAAGCTATATTTTACTCCATTCCCTTCAAAAGACAAAATCTTTGTATTTTTAAAAAAATGGAGAGCAAAACAATGGTCGTATTTATGGTAATGATCTTGATGATTGGAAACTTTATAGTTGAAACCGAAGCTTTAGACAGACAACAGAGACAACGATATCTTAGATGTTTTGCAAGTTGTAATAGAATTTGTCTTGCTAGTCCATGGGTACGAAATAAACTTCTATGTCCTGGAAAATGTGCCGCACAGTGTACGGTTAACACAAAATCAGATGAAATTAACCAAATTGATGATTTTTGTCAATTTGGTTGTGTTACTCTTCATTGTGATTCTGTTGAAGATCAAAGTAAGTTTTTCAAAAAAATCATACATTTTAATCTTCACATAAAATGATATTCTCATTTTAGCTTGTATTGAAATATTCTTACAATACTTATGTTTTTTGTTGTTGTGTATTGTGGATAGATATGAAGACCGATGGGAAAAAAGCTAAAAAATGTTTGAATTCATGCTCGGATATGTGTAGCAAAAAGAACTAAGATATTAAATTATTTTTGTATTCAATAACTGATTTTAAAAAAAATAAAGGTATTATGAATTATTGGTTTGTTTCGATATAGT